TCGATCTCCGATCTCCCCATGTTTCTCGTCCTTCTTCTGTCCCAGAAAATTGAAATTCCAGATTGCCCATGAAGATGGCGACTAGATCCACACTATCATGGCAAACACACCACGGATTTGTGTGTATTCCCCTCTGCCCACCAACATATGCCAGATCTGCCATATTCTATCATATATTGATCTAAGCTTCTGGGTTGGGTTATCGCGAGTAGTTGCTCCAGAAGGATGTGTAGGATTCACTAAAATTAGGGAAAGAAAGAAGGAATTTGTGTGGTGCATAGGGAGGGAGAAAATTATTTGACATCTATATCTATCGTTAGTTGCCACCTATGTTTGCCGTTAGCTGCCACCATGTTATGTTGTTACTTGCCATCATATTATCTTGGCTGTTGCCATCGGTTCAAAATGATAGTTGGCATCCAGATTTTAGGAAAGAGAATGAATGTGCATGTCCTACTTGCCGTGATGTATTGGTTATCTATGCAAGAAATGTGATAAAATTGTCGTGTTTTTTTGTATGTGCAAACAACAAGAATGCATTTTCGAATATTCATGCGTTCTTGTTCATGCAGTGACTGGAAACACAGTGGGAGAAAAAGCGGAAAAATGAATCATGAAGACAGCACTGATCCTTGGTTTTCTCAAATGCCGGAAGCGCCCCCTTGGGATGCAGTAGAGTACAATCAACTCATTTTCGCAGGGCCGTTGCTGCCACTACTAGAGCAGTACGCGAGCATCGGTACGATGCATGATCAAAAAAGGGACAGTTGACATGTTTGTGACGAGGAAAATGGATGTCATTTTTCACAGGTTCTTATGACACAACCACACACACAGGGATTCCATGACAAGTTCAAACACAAGGCGCTAATGCTGACAGATGTACGGGAGACCAACTTCAAGTAGCTAATGTGGCAAATCAAGGTAACGCATACAAAAAAAGCATACTGATGTGGCCATGAAATTAAACTTGCAATGATGGCAAAGACTTGCGAGTTTTATGGAGAAACGCAGGACCATCATGCAGCACGTGGCAACAGGCGGCAACCATGTACCTGCCATCGACGTCGTACACAGGTGAGTCGTATGAAGTGATTTTGTGGACAGTGAATCGGGAAAAGGAACATAGGTGACATTGGTGTTTACATGGTGACTTGACAAAACACAGTTGCCGTGTTTGGACAACTGCAGTTGCCACGTATGGACAACTGCAGTTGCCACGTATGGACAACTGTAGTTGCCATGTCTAATCAACTGTAATTGCAATGTCTAAACAACTGTGGATGCCAAGTGTGAACAAATCTGTTTGCCATGGTTCAACCACTACATGTGTCATGTTGTACAAACTACAGTTGCCATGCATTGACCAACTGCTAATGATCGCAAGTTGTTATGGTGGAACCACATCGGCAAATGTATTGTGGCAAGCTTCACCGTTGCAGGCCAACGCTATTGCAGATAGAGCACAACAAATTGGAATGACAGACCAGCTTCGATTAGCACATGCGACACAACAAGGTAAAAAATATGTGAACCAACAAAACAATATTGCATTTGCTTTTGTGGAAAAGCATGGGGGAAAGTGGATTTATCACTGTGGTGGCGGAAAACAACAAAATGCTACCAAGTGGACACGTGCAAAATAGTCATCTAGTGGCTTGTCTTCAGGATTTGTCAATTACTGTCTGCGTGTGTACAACATTTGTGATTAACTCCATTTGCCTAGTGGGCTCATACCTAGAATGCAAGTTTTCATGCTAAAGATGTTGGTTGCCATGTCTTGACAACAGTAGCTGCCATGGCTAAAAAACTGTAGTTGCCATGCATGGCCAGATGCAGATGACATGGCTTGCTGTATGAATGATATCATGCCAAATCAGATGTAGTTGCTATATTCCGTTACGATAAACCTGCCATTCAAGCAATGCTTACACACGTACCTATTTTTTTGCAGGACCTTCAACTACAATCAACAGCAGCGCGGGGACATCTACTACTGGAACCTCTGAGCATACGGAAGGAGCGTTCCACCAGCAAGTCGATAATGTTGCCACAAACAATGCAGAATTAGTGTCGGAACTGGCAATCGTTCCAGCAATGACGACGAGCACACCTTTGCACACCAACACAAGCAACACTCAAGCAGATGAAACAGCCGCCGATACTGAAGTGAATGATGAAACAGATGACAAAGCACAAGGGGATGAAGAAGATGGGCAATCGGAAATCATGATACCTCAACCACCATATGTTGGGCAGAGATTTGATTTGTTTGAAGATGCCAAGGAATTCTACCAGAGATATGCAATGTTCCATGGGTTTGCGGTTAACACTGAATACCATAGGAAAATAAAAAAACTAACGAGTACAGTAGAGGTGAGATAAGGTGCTACAAGGCACGAAGGAACAAGAAGGGTAAAGGTGTTGTGCCTGTCGTGCCGGAACGAAAGAGAGGTGTCATTGTCAAGACGGAATGCCTTGTCCGGTGTAAGCTAAACACAGACGGATGACGGTGGGTGGTCACCGGATATTTCGACGAACACAACCACGAACTCATAAAGAAGTTTGACCTGGTAAAATTTTTGAGCGCCCACAGAGGATTCAGCCCCCTCGAGAAGAAATTCGTAAAATTGCTACATGATTGTAACGTCGGTCCATCAAGAATGGTACAAATATTGTCCCTGATTCACAGCGGAGATGGTAGACTGAGTAGCATGCCCTACATACCAGCAGACATCACAAACCTAAAGGCAAAGTATCATAGAGAGAGCAGGTTGGCTGACATAGAAGACACGATAGCCTACTTCGAAGAGAAAGCAAAAGAAGATGTTGATTTCTTCTACAGGATAAGATTGGATGATGAGGACCGTGTCAGAAACATGTATTGGGTGGATGGTGCTGCAAGAAGAGCCTACAAACATTTCCGTAATTACTTTTACTTCGACGCGACATATCTCACTAATATGTACAAGATGCCCTGCGCTCTATTCATAGGAATAAATAGCCACAATCAGTCATTGCAGTTCGGTTGCGGACTCATTCGGAACAAAGATACGGATGGTTACACTTGGCTGTTCAAAATCTTCTTGAAGTGCATGGGTGGACTTGCTCCGATGAACATAATAATAGACCAGGATTTTAGCATGCTTGCAGGCATAGAGCCGTTGGCAGTGCACATGCACTGCAGGTGACATACTATTAAGAAGGCTGAGGAGATGCTAGGACCATTCTTTGCTGACCGTCCAGAGCTACACAAGGCATTCGAGTTGTGCGTGGACCACAGCTTGACGGTGGAGGAGTTTGAACGGAGCTGGACGACTATGATTGAAACATACCAAGTCCAAGACAACGAGACACTTACTAGCCTGTGGGAGAAGCGAATGTATTGGGTGCTGGCCTACTTCATGTAGTGCTTCTTCCCATTTATGCAGACTACTCAGTGCAGCGAGGGGTTCATTGTTGTTTTGAAGCGGTATGTGAGCCCTGGCAACTCATTGCTGCAGTTTTCCAAGCAGTACACAGCTTTGCAATAGAAAATACTGGGATCTGAGCTACAGCAAGAAGCAAACATCGCGCTCAAGCAACCTAAATTGCTAACATATTTACCGATGAAGAGGCGGATGAGCAAGATATATACCAACAAGATTTTTAACAAGTAAGTGGATTATCTTACTGTCTTATTTGCACAAGCATGAAGATATTAGGTTCCATGTAGATTGCAATGCAGTTGCCAACTTTTTTGACTTGCTCATCTATCAAAAATATCCACTGAGTACAATATAAGCATGAT